GCCGGGGTTTTCACACGTTTGAACTGGGGTATAGGTAGTTGCGTGCCCCCAAATCTATTTACATCCCTTTCTTTCCTCTCTTGTTTACTTTTTCTTTGGCCCAAATTTTGTTCCCACGGTTACTTGGTAAGTGTTTACATATATACATTCTAATAATTCATTTGTGTTTTTTATTAATCTGAATGTTACTGATAGCAGAGTATTTCCCATCGCATCCTAGTAATACGCTTTCTTGCAGAGTATATCATATTGTGTGTTTGTTGTGCTTATGCCATGAAAGTCACCAAAGATGTACATTTGCCGCTGGTATCCATGCCATTTGTTGCTTTGCGTCAGGTAGCATAGCCCGAAATACGTCAAGACAGGGGGAAACTATTGCCAAATTTTTTTCTGCTGCCGATATAAAATGTATCAAAACAAGGGGAGACTATTGCCAAAAAATTTTCAACGGTAAGTGGTATTATAAGACATATTTGTGGTACAATTATCAATGAAGATCAATCGCTTTACTCTGAAATTACGCTATATTTACTATAATGTTGCTTCCATTTGATGTCTTTCCTTCTAATATAAAACTGCTATAAAAATTACATAAAATCTCTGTATAATGATGCTTTAATCTTAGCCCTCGCATGTAGACATTTGCGTGAAACCTGGTCCCTGAAATTTGATGTTATTACTATGGAGCGTACTAAGCACTATGAACCATCATTCAAGCTGTATGTTTTGATCCAATGATAGTGGGCAACGATGTTGGAAGATGCAATTTATACGGATTAGCAAGCTTGATTCGCCTTGGATGTAGTACATTGAGAAAAAAATTTTGACGCCAAAATCCTGTTCAAAATTTTTAGGGCCAAACGCATGTTTTTGAAAAATCTTTTTTTTTTTTAATAGAACAGACATCTCGAGGATGTTGAGGTCCTAATTTAGAATCAATTGTGAAACGATCCCTGAATTTAAAAAGTACTTAGCAATTCGTGATGTAGACATTATTCGTAGCATCAAGGCGAGGGCTATATGGCCTACGTTTTTCATCTTTGAGCGTTGATCCTGCTCGAAGTACAGCTTCAATCAATTCTCAGAAGCACAATATGCATCACATCTATGAAGGCTTACTGATGATATAGCAAAAGCTGCCAACAGCCACTGCTGGCAGTAGTATTAAAGTGACATACCATTTACATGCAAAACCCTTTAAACATAGATTGTACCTCGAGATTTGGAGCTATCATCGTAGATCTGATATACTTCCACTTAAGAAACATGCACCTGGTGCATAAGAAGACGGTGTTACGCTTATGCGTCAATTTCAATTTCCCGGCATTCTATCGACGTTTTGAGCAAAGAAATGGCAATCTTTAAAGAGACATTACAGCAGAAATAATGCTTTGATCGAGAAACAGAGAAAAGTATGCTAATCCTTGAATTAAAAAGTACATTGATGAGCATTTTCATGTTTTTTTTTTACCAAAAATTTCAAAATTGATTTTTTTTGAAAAAACCTCAACTTAAAAAAAACGCAATATATGCTTTAACATGGATTCCAAAATAAAAGTTTGAAATATATTTTTTTGCTCTCCACGGTTTTTTTATGTGAGAACCTCTGTCTTTTGCATGGTATAAGTCTTGTCTAAGTAATTGTTAATAAACTATCTGCAATCGCCAATATAAGAAGGCTAAGGGTACCTGTGCCATTTGCATAAAAGTGCGCTAAACGCTTTAAATACAACGTATATACAGCTGATTTTTGTCAAAGCAGCGGCATTATCTTTAGAAAGCTTAGTTTTTTTATATTTAAGCTAAGTCTGACAGCATTTTACTGTCGAGAACAAAAAGATATATCGCTAAATATGCTGGATTTTTGCTTGTTTTAACTTGCATCGCTTGATTTAGTCTTTATTTAAGGTCAGAATGCCGTATCGCACTGATATTAAAGTATTATAATGTGAAATAATAGCAGTACAGCTAATTAGAGAAACTCTGTATCTGATGTATGCGGTGCGCAATGAAGCTTGAAAGGCATTTTCAAAAATTGACAGAATTTTTTCGTGTCGATCTTCGTATTATGATTGGCTGAAAAATGATCGACTGCATTACACAATCCCAAAAAAGGAATAATGAATGTTTTGGAATAATATAGGATGTTAATGTAGTTTGATCAATTAAATATTTTATATCAAGAACAATAAATAACGCTGACTAGCTATAACTCCATTGATCGCCACATTGAACAGGGACTTAACTCCACTTCCAGAATATACACGGCCCCTCTCCTGTCTATTTACCTAATCACTTTCTTTTATTATAGGACTAACTACTAATCATTGATGAGATGGCTATATTACAGCCTTCTGAAGGGGCGATAAACAGTGCTATCAAGATTTAAGATCATGGAGGTATCAACAGTCTACAGACAGTCTGCTGCTTCCTTGGTACCGTACACAACATGGTGTGGTCGTATAATTGATAACTACATAACATATCATCAAGGGCTTGATGTACATGCTCACTTTCGACATTAAAAAGGCTTTGTATAGCAACATTATACTGTGCGCGAAAAAAACGTTCAAGTGATAGTGCCCTGACAAAATCTTTCTGGTAGTATTACTACATCAGTTTCAGTGCTAGCATCTTTTCAATTATACCAATTTGAAGCTCATAACTGCCACTTACTATCTCTAGCTTGAAAATGCGGAATAACCAAATTTGATTGGTTGAGACGAAATAAACGGTTAATTTTTGGATTTCGTTATTTTGACTAAGCGAATAATAAGAAACTGAAGGAAACCTAAATTTTAAGGCATGAACGTTGGCTGCCAAGCCACACGGTAGAAAACCTTCAGCAAAACAACTCGGTAAAAGCATTTGCCGGCAAATGGTTAACCCCAAAAAATGCTTGATTTTTAGTCATTTTTTTCTTTGGTATCTAAAACATAGAAGTAGTTGGTTTTAGTAACTGCTATTGCAGGGGTTTGTAGCGCTTAAAAAAGGCTTTCGGATGATATATTATGTTTCAAGTTTGAGCGCCTTTCAGTGATTTAATCTGCAATAATGTAAAATGCCTTATTTGGAGGGGGTGTATAAAGCTGGCCTGTCTGATGCGTAGCAATGCTTTGGTTTTGTCTCTTCTATGACTCGTTGATACTGTAGCGGCAATACCTAAAATAACCTTGGTTTGGTTCCAATAGGTTTTGTTTCTCAGCTAAACTGATTAAATTGATTTTCGGTAACATCGCTTTGATTTTGCTCTTAGCCAATAGAAATTAGGCATATCCTGATGTACAATATATCTTTCAAAAGAGGACACTGCTCTCATTTGAAACATAGTAGTCTCATTTCTGTATCTCATAATGCTCAAAAGATACATGCATACACACTACGAAGAAGGTGTCCCAAAATCGAAAACACTTGAACGTTTTTTTCGCGCACAGTAGTAAATATAGCGTAATTTCAGAGTAAAGCGATCGATCTTTATTGATGATTATACTACAAATACATCATATAATACCACTTACCGTTGAGAAAAATTTGGCAATAGTCTCCCCTTGTTTTCTTGTTCAACAGCCAGGTAACAGCGAAAAATTTGTCCATAGCCTCCCCTTGTTTTGATACATTTTATATCGGCAGCAGAAAAAAATTTGGCAATAGTTTCCCCCTGTCTTGACGTATTTCGGGCTATGCTACCTGACGCAAAGCAACAAATGGCATGGATACCAGCGGCAAATGTACATCTTTGGTGACTTTCATGGCATAAGCACAACAAACACACAATATGATATACTCTGCAAGAAAGCGTATTACTAGGATGCGATGGGAAATACTCTGCTATCAGTAACATTCAGATTAATAAAAAACACAAATGAATTATTAGAATGTATATATGTAAACACTTACCAAGTAACCGTGGGAACAAAATTTGGGCCAAAGAAAAAGTAAACAAGAGAGGAAAGAAAGGGATGTAAATAGATTTGGGGGCACGCAACTACCTATACCCCAGTTCAAACGTGTGAAAACCCCGGCGTACTAGGGCAAAGCAGCCTTATTACCAGAGTATATGGGATGCTAAATATACATCAAAATCTTTATAGGCCACTTGTGAAACATCATTGACCCAATGTTGCGTGAAATTAGATTGCTTCCCTCATTTTCAGAATATCAATAGAAGCTGAGGGCTGTCCATCTATAGTCTCCACTATAGGGCATGCCTATACCATACATTGGTGGTCATTTTGCATTTACAGTAGTGCACTGAAAGGTGGAAATCTTCATAATGATATTAATAAAGAGCATCAGATGTTGCGGTGCAGGAATTCATAAAAGAAAAATATGTACAGTATATATACAAGCAAAAGCTAGATAAAAGTTCAGCAGAAATAAAGGGATGTAGGCGAGAGCAAAGTATAAGGTAGGGTAGAATATAGGCAAAAAAACAAGATGTAGGCGAGAACAAAATCAAAATGTAGGTGAAAGAAAATCTAGATGTAGGCGAAAGAAAATCTTGGTGTAGGCGAAGAGAAGTCAGGGTTTAGGGGAGAATATATCATAAGTAAGAGGGAAGGTGAAGGCGGCAATACCATCCTATATTACTCGGATTGGTTTAAAAACCTGGATATACTCACGATTTTCAAGATGGTATCAATTTGATATCAAAAGTGGATTTTTTGTTTAGTGACACAGTGTAGTCTTTTTGATAGCTATTGGGGTGTAAGAGCTGTGAGTAAAATATTTTTTTGGCTTGTTCTTCTAAAAAAAAAAGTATAAAGTTTATTCAGAAAGAAGCTTAAAGTGTTTTTAAGGTGCTGTTTCCAGGCTAATAAGGTATCTCAGGGTGAGTTAACCCTACATTCTATGAACATCATCTAAAATGAAACTGTAAGGCCGTCATTGCTTGTAACGCATGATAAAAAGTTTTACCTCCCAATGTTACACTCTATAGAGTCGTCGTTTATTTGCGCAATATGATTAGATCAAAACTAAAAACGCTCGCCAGCATAGTAGCTCTTTTAGCTCAGTTGGTTAGAGCGTCGTGCTTATACTCACCCTATACTAAAGTCACGCGAAGGTCGCGAGTTCGATCCTCGCATAGAGCACTATTTTAGCAAATGCTAAAAACAGTATTCAACCTGTGTTACTCTGGAACAACGAAGAATGATAATATTGGAGTCTAGCGGTTTTATATGCGGTACTGTAGCATAGTGCCTTTTTTATTAATCTGTTATCACCACCAGATCGTAAATGACGGATTTCCATACGAATCTTATTAATGTTACGAATCGATACGATTCTTGCACTCTATATCTTTTATTTTATTATTTTATTATTTTATCAAGCTATCTATCAACAAACAATCTTACCTGTCAGCAATTATCAACAAGCAAAGCTCATCAGGTACAACATTAGCTCCAACATCTCAGATTCAATTAGCACAAACTCAACATTCTCAATCTTCTCAACCTTAAATCAGCGGTTGCATACAACAATGTTACATTTTGACAGATGTCAATATTCTTTAAACACTCAATAACACACCATATTTCTCTTTTAGTATTATCAATTACAAATCAACAGCTAAATAATCAATATTACAATTATCACATCGAAGTCAAAAGAACAATTTATATTACAATATCTACACACAAACGTTTATCCTTTCATCCGTAAAAACGGAAAGGACATTATTAATCACAACCATCACATAGAAACACTTAGAACAAAACATAGAATTAGAATTAGTACAAATAACCTGAATGAATTGAATCAATAAACCTTTATCTTATTATTAGCTTAACATATAGAAGCCCTGATCCCTTGAATACATCTATTTCATTGTAATATTATACTTTATTATCTGAATATCCTTTTATCTCTCTTTTTATTATATCTTTACTAGTTGGACAACTATAAACCTGGTGCTCATTACAATAGACGAATCTGCTTTGGCTAATTCTCTTTATTATTATCACATTTCTTTTATTTACTCTTTACAATAAACCACTTTGTAACATTAAGATCAGTAGCCACAACTGGCTTATCACAAAAATTACTCACCACGCATCAACGAAAGCTCAATCAATCAGAAATTCAACCACTACACTATCGTTTTTCTCACCAAATTTGGTATGGGCACATGTTGAGTTTAATTTTCTGGTGGTATCAATATTTTGAAAGTGCATCTCGGATGATTATCTGATCCAGAATACCCAAATACAGTACCTACATACAACTTGGATTCAGTGTCAATCACCAAGCTACACTATGCGGTTTTGACTACACTGTTGCGCAACAACATCCCCTCTATATCAATCTATTACTACTAAAAACTCGTAATTAACGGCTTTCTTTATGGATTTCGTCAAGATCAGTGCTGCTCCAAATTGGCTTATTGCGAAAATTATCCATCCATCAACAAAAGATCACCCATCCATCAACAAAAGCTCGCCCAATCCAGAATTCAACTATACCATCGTGTTCCTCGCACAATTTAGCATAAGTATGTGCCAATTTCAACATCTTAACCGCAATTTTTTGCAAATGAATCTCGCATGATGACCTGATTCTGCATAATGAAAATACCTGCTGCGTATAAACAGGATTTAGTGTCAAGCACAAGGATACAGCAGTGTACAGCTTTTAATAATACAGTGTTTTCCAACACCCCATCTGTCACTCTGTTAGCACTAAACACTTGTAGTAATTAACCGCCTTCTTCATGGACCTTGTCCAGATCAGTGCTCATCAAAACTGGCTTATTTTGAATATCGTTCATTCATCAGCGGTAGCACGTCCAAATGGCTCAAGTCTGACCACACAATCGTGTTTCTCGCAAAATTTGGCATAGGCACAGGTTTATCTCATAAGCTAGATGATTGATTTGATATTCATACCAATGTAATGCAAAATTGTACTTTTAGTGTTATGAACAGGCTTAGATTTATTCAAAACTTTTTTTTTTTAGGAAAGTGAATGTATTTGATCATGTCTGATACTTCTGGTGGTATCGTGTGTAGTTACTTTAAGCCATTTTGTATCACGAATTCTGAGTGTTTAGTCTTGCTTTTCTCATTTTAATCACATTTTTAGTTTCAATATCAATGCTTTATTTCTCTGAGCTGTCTCCAGATTTCAGCCAATCAAATTTCTCTAAAAGAACTACATACACCACAAATCCTGGAAAAAAATTGCGAGGGTTTCCCCTTGTTTTGACGTTGGGCGAAGTTTTAAGTATTACTAAATACAGTAATTTAGCAATTCCATCATCAAAATCCCCTAAAATGCCAGAATATGCCTTACTACACACCCCAGCTTATAATCCAAACGCTTGAGACTCTCAATTAGCACCAAGTAAGTGATACAAATCAAGTGAGGACAGCCTATCTACCCCCCAGCCTCTGAATCAAATCAAGTTGTGCTTCAACGATAGGCTTATCCACACAACGAAAAAGGAGGGTTATGGCTCAAAGAACCATAAAAAGTGGGAAAAGTAACAAAAGGGCATGACTACAGTAGAATGCGATGAAGAACAGAAACATTGCAATACAGTTACATACAAAAAGGTAACAAGCAATGTGTATCATCAGACTGACGAGTACAAGAAAGAAAAAAGTAGTATTATCGTGGTTGCCTCATAAGAAGCAAGAACACCAATACCACCAGTACTACAAAAGAAGTAATACTTGAAGAACAAGAAGAATGCAAGGCTACTCCACAATGGAGCAGCACTGCTAGCGATACAATGCATCAAACGATACACCATAGCACTGTGGTGCAGCAACAACAGAAAAATAGTTGCGTGCAGAAAAAGGGGAAAGAACAAATCGCAATAGAGCAAACTAACGAATGCACAGTATTGCGAGAAAGAAAGCAGTAAATGGTTGAATGAATAATGTAATCCATGACAGCCAAATTCATGGCAACCAAAGAAGGGGAATATACAAACCAAATACAAACCAAACACAACAATCAATATATTGCAACCAACTGGCCTAAAATAAACTGTGTAATTAGTACTACTGTATATTGTACCGCGAAAGGTGGCTCTTATCGGCTGATACCTACTGTAACAAACTTGAAAGGTGTCGTCTTGGGTACTGGTGGTTGCAAAGGCACGCTTCTTTTGGCGAAAGTGGTGTTGTGTTCAATCAATAGTAATAAAAAGTATATGGTTTAATAGAAAAAGTGCAGTGCAAAGCAGCGCAAGAAATAAAAAAATAAAAAATAAAATACGCGTTGCTGAGGGTGACTGCAGCCACTAAGCTGCGGCAGTGCACGCGGAATCTGAATGATGACGTGTATAGTGTATATTTTGCACTGTGCTAGCGGTACCCAAAATGGTTTTTTTGCAGTGATTTCTTTTGATTCCATTTCAACAAAATTTGACATTCTGACATTCTTGTAAACGTTTTTGTTAAGATTAGCTATATAAAGTGTGCTCAGCGTATACTACTTTCTAATAAACTTAAGGGGAGAATTTGAAGGCGCATTCAATGGTGTCAATTTTAAAGTACTTTTAGAATGAAAAGATAAAGAATTTTGATAAAATATAAAAAGCAGTTTTTCCAGGAAAAGTCGAGATTTAGCATATACAACGTTCAAAATAGCAGTTGCACAGGTTACCCTACATCTGTGCGGTCATTTTGATTTAATATATGCCATAGTAAAAAGTGTCGTTTTCGCCTTCAAAATTGCGATCGTTTGATTTTTAACAAAAACCATGAGGGGTACCTCATGAAAAAACGAGAATTTTCGACGATTTGGATTGATCCAAAAAAAATATGAATGAAGGTTTAGGATATAAATGGTGATCGATAGCAATCATTTGGCACTATTCCCAGCATCTAGAACGACTTAGAAGACAAGATATTGAGGGTTGAATACCGGCGATTTGGCTGGGAAAAGTACTTTTGGTGCCATGTAGATCTACAAAAACTAATGCTACCAATCTGATCTATACTTTAAACCATTAGTATTTTTTTTGGGACTACACGCTGATTATCATCAGACAAAGAACAATGGAAATTTTGTGCATGTTTTACTTTAAAAACGCTCAGAAATACCAAAAGCACCGCTTATCGTGTTTCAATGCATCTTCTACTAATAACCTATGCCTTTAGAAAGTAGTGCAATCTGCTATGCATTTCAATTCTTTGTATTATATCAAATATACAATTTGGGCAGTGGTTGTGTACATTAAAAGTGTTCTCTACATGACAGAAAGGATGGATCTAGAGTTTGGAATTGGGTATAATGAACACTCTACTGTTGAACTACAAGAATCGTTTAATTCATGTACACTTAACGTAGCTACTGGAAGTTTGTTTATAATATCAAGAGATTCAGCGTATCTTGCATTCATAGCCCAATTTATTACCTGCCACAACAACACTCTAAAGACGGTTGCAGCCCATTTGCAAAACACATTTTCATTGTGTTGCCCATTTGTCAGATGTTTATCAAGATTTAACTAATGTAGGATTGTTTTTCGTCAAAATTTCCTTTTTAATAACATACATGTTCATTGCTTGTCATGTAGAGCGTATTTGACAGCATAAAAAGGGTTCGCAGAGAAGCCATGCTTGCCTGTTTCTTTTACTACCTTTGTTTTTTTCTGCAATCTATCATTTCATCACACAAAATGTCTTCTCTTGCTCAACCAACAACGTAAGAATGAAAAAATGCGCTTGAACCATATTATACCGCAAAAAGCTAATGCCGCTCTTTTTTATTTGCTATTAGATTAAGCTATACACCTGGATCGACAATTGGTAATGTCGCAACGCTCTACCGCCACGCTCATGAGCTTATCTGCTATCGAATGCGCAATCTGGAGATGGATGCCTCGCATGTTACATTAAGCTATGTTGCGAAGCTCTTTTGTCAATTCAGCCAACAAGAACTTGCATCACCCTTTGTTTGCAAGGAGCTTCATGATATACTTTACAAGAACCTCATTGTTTCCGACCATGTTTTAATGAAGAGACTCAAATTGTCCGTATACCATCCCACGGCCGTAGTTCCACATTGGTATTACATTCGCAGCTGGCAATACTCTGTTCAAGATTTCAAGACTGTGCTCGACGACTTTACTTTGGAT